TGTAAAATAGCTATCTGCCTGTTTTTATCCTTTTGTCTCCATACTTTTTGAGTATTTTTTTTCCTCTCTCCCTTTTTCCCTGATGCACATCCTCAAATAGGTCTCCTTGAATTGTGTGTGTGTGTGTGTGTGTGTGTGTGTGTGTGTGTGTCCCCTCTTGCGCACAGGAGATTCTGATAGGAGATGTCAGTGTCGGCCCTGGGGAAAGACTCTTGCTAATAGAGTTTGCTCTGTGGAGGAGAATGCACGAAGAATGTAATTTTAAAGTATTCCGTTGTGTGCCTCTGTCTTGTGTTCATGCGCATACATGCACATGTTCTAGCACAGGTTGACATCGTGCATATTGTTAGTGGCGGGCGTTTCAATGAACTTCCATCATTCGCAATTGACGAACCCGGAAGGGCATCATAGTCAGTCGTCATTATTTCAGGCCTGCCTGTCACACCGTCCATGTTATTTTTGACATGCTTCCTTTATGACTAAATTACATTTCGTCACCGCTTTAAACCGTCAGTTAAAAAAACTGTTTACAAGGGAACAGGAGACAATTTTATGAATCTACAAACAGTTTGGAGCATTTTACACCCAAAAAATATATTAATTCTAATTACCGGTGCTATTACTGATCCTCCTCCTGCTGCTCATCCCCAAAATGCCCCTCGTAATTTTTATGGGGGTTCATGGCGGTCCGCAGGACAGCCAAAAATAATTTCTGTCAGTCCGCCACCAAAAATGGGAGTCCGTCAGTGATGGACTGATGGACCTTCGGTCGGTACTGAGGCACCGGTGGAAATGCCTACCACCATATATTGTTTCATTAAACAGTTCATTTTATCTATTCATGTCATGGATTGGGTGGTGAAAGCGGGTGTAACCTGATGCTTCAATGCAACTCTGCCTTTACAATGGCAAAATCACTGGTTCGGATGTTTGCACACTATCCCTTTGCATGTCCTATAAAAATAAATTAATTTAAAAAACACAGAAAATGCCAAATTCCTTGATTCTGAGATTATGACTCATCCCTCCGAACTGTTTGGGAAATTTGTCAGGCAGCATAAATCTTTAAATATATCATTGTTGCAAATTTCTCCATTGTGAGACAATGAAGGTTTTCTTATCTTATCTTATAAATGGAAGAAGATATACCGGTAATTGAAAATGGTGGTGTTGCTGTATATATACTGTAGCTGACTTGCAGCTGGCACAGGGCTGATTCCCAGTCATTGCGCCATTTACAATCACCTTGCAATGGATTTGGCGACCATTCCATGGTGTAGTCTGCATCACTCCATCAACTGGGCCTGGATCCAGTCATCTCTGAAGCCCTGAGCAGGATGAATGTTATCCAACATGGATGCAGGGGTGGATTACTGTGATCAATTCAAGGATAATGCATAATATGATTGCTGCATTGCCATTAAAGTTGTACCAGATCCACTTTTATGCTTGTGAAAACTAGGATTTATACGATCAGGAATTTGGGGGCTGATCACTATTACTCAAGAAACCAATCACTGATCTGATGGCAAAATGGAGCAGCATATCTTTTGAAATACTTATTGACTTTATATCCAGCGGAACCTTGGGATAAAAAGTTAATTTGGGTTATAAACTTTTTTTGTGGACGTGGGACTGGTTGCGCAGGCTCTAGCGTACACTATATGACTCATCCCTCCGAACTGTTTGGGAAATTTGTCAGGCAGCATAAATCTTTAAATATATCATTGTTGCAAATTTCTCCATTGTGAGACAATGAAGGTTTTCTTATCTTATCTTATAAATGGAAGAAGATATACCGGTAATTGAAAATGGTGGTGTTGCTGTATATATACTGTAGCTGACTTGCAGCTGGCACAGGGCTGATTCCCAGTCATTGCGCCAGTGACAATCACCTTGCAATTGATTTGGTGACCATTCCATGGTGTAGTCTGCATCACTCCATCAACTGGGCCTGGATCCAGTCATCTCTGAAGCCCTGAGCAGGATGAATGTTATCCAACATGGATGCAGGGGTGGATTATTGTGATCAATTCTAGGATAATACATAATATGATTGCTGTATTGCTATTAAAGTTGTTCCAGATCCACATTTATGCTTGTGAAAACTAGGATTTATACGATCAGGAATTTGGGGGCTGATCACTATTACTCAATAAACCAATCGCTGATCTGATCGCAAAATGGAGCAGTATATCTTTTGAAATACTTATTGACTTTATATACAGTGGAACCTTGGGATAAAAAGTTAATTTGGGTTATAAACTTTTTTTGTGGAGGTGAGACTGGTTGTGCAGGCTGTAGTGTACACTAACACAAAATATATAGGACTAATAACAATAACATGCACACAAAAAAAAACAAAACAAAACAAAAAAAACATTGTCTGGCAGTGACCACAATTGACTAGTTGGACACTCCTGCTGTTGATGGTATTTTTCAATGAAAATAATCAGATTTTTTTTTTTTTTTTTTTACTCCGTCAGTCATAAATCTAATGTAATTCTCGATTAAATTTGCGGTTGGACGGTTGAGGATACGGAGGCGGACGTGCTTTCTACATGTTCAAATGCTTTCTGCTAACAAAACATACATATTGCCGATCCAATGCAG